TTTGAAAATCATTACATAAACAATTTATAATCCCTACCTAAAGCAAAATTAGACAAACATAAATCACAGCCTTTTAATAATTTTTAAGAAAAAACATGACAATATTTTACTTCATAGCAATCAGATCTCATCTTTCTTCTTCCCAAAAGCATGATATCTAAGATCTTTTCCTCTTATAACCTCAAGCCTGTTGAGGTAAGTTTGTGGGTTTTCTTGTCAATTCAGCATATCTCAACAGTAAGAGCAGTAAATGTTCTAAGTGGCAACTCTGTCAGCACTAAAAATGATCTTAAAACAAGCATCAGCTAGCATTAAACAACAACAAAAACCCAAAAACCTAAACCAGGTACAGTGGTTCACGCCATTATCCCAACAATTTGAGAGATCGAGGCGGGTGGATCATTTGAGCCCAGGAGGTTGAGACCAGTCTGGGCAAGATGGCAAAACCCTGTCTATACCAAAAATATACAAAAATTAGCTGGAAGTGGGGGTACGTCCCTGGAGTTTGGCAACTCGGGAGGCTAAGGTGGGAGGACCATCTGAACCCAGGAGGCAGAGGCTTCAGTGAGCTGAGATCATGCCACTGCACTCCAGCCTGGGCAACAGAGTAAGACCCTGTCTCAAAATAAATTAAACACCAAAAGCTCTCACTTGTCTCATTAAAATTGTCAAAGACAGAAACCAAATAGAAATAGAATATTCATACCCTAATATTGGTTAGTTTTTTACAAATCTTAATTTTTAAGATTTTTCCACAAAAAGTTTTCTTGAGTGTCAACTATGTATGTGATTAGCACTATATTACACATCAAGAATAAAAGATGAGCAAGACAGGCTTTTAAATCCAAATGATGATCTGTTATAAAACCCTCCAAAGAAAGATATGAAATAGAAACGTAAATTTCTTTGACTTATGATAATTGATGAAGACACTGAACTGTTGAAAGCAGAAAGTTGTCCATCAGCTTATAAAGAAAATGTCTAGCACAGCTATTGGCACAGAACAGATGCTCAAAATATTTGTTGAATTAATGAATATCCAAAATGGAGAGGATTTCCACTCTGACATTTAATGCCTTCAAAATATGTATTATTTAAATACTGTATAACATTATCATTACTTTTATTGCGTTAACAATTAGATGATGTGTTATTCTTTTAAACTATATTGCTTGTCTTTGCCAACAATTGCCAATGAAGTAAACCTAATATAAACACTACCTTAAACCATAATTTGTATTCAAAACATTTATTTATGTTGAGCTCATTAAGATGAACTATGAAATTTAATATGATGTATTTTACTCCTAATAAAGCTGCTAGATAAATCAGAACACACTGCAACTTCCCATACATTCTAAAAGAAGAATGACCTTCTAAACCTTTGGAATATCATGCATGAAATAAACGGAACTAAGGTGAATTTAAGAGTTTTCTTTTGCAGTTGTAACTCTGAAAATATTAGCTATCATTCTAATTACCTTTTTTTATTTTTGGGAGACAGAGTTTCGCACTCATTGCCCAGGCTGGAGTGCAATGGCGCGATCTTGGCTCACCACAACCTCCGCTTCCTGGGTTCAAGCAATTCTCCTGTCTCAGCCTCCCGAGTAGCTGGGATCACAGGCATGCACTACCATGCCTGGCTAACTTTTTGTATTTTTAGTGGAGATGGGGTTTCACCATGTTGGTCAGGCTGATTTTGAACTCCCAACCTCAGATGATGATCTGACCACCTTGGCCTCCCAAAGTGCTGGGATTATAGGCGTGAGCCACCGCACCCAGCCTCTAATTATCTTAAGAAAACGTTAAACTTCCCTTTCTGCTTGTGCATTCTTTACCTATAAATGCACTAAAAATTACCGCAAAACTTAGCAGTTTTAAACAACAAACATTTATTATCGCATAGTTTCTGTGAGTCAGAAATGTGGGAGCAATTTAGCTGGGTGGTTCTGGCTCATAGTCCCTATGAAGTTCTAGTCAAGATATTAGCAGTGGCTGTAATTATCTGAAGGCCTGTTTGTGACTGGAGGACTTGCTTTCACCATGATTCACTTCACATGGTTGTTGCTAGAAGGATCCAGTTAGTTACTGGTTGTTGGTAGATGACCTCAATTCCTCACAGGAATCTCTTCATAGATCTCCTCAAGTGTCCTCATGCACAGCAGCTGGCTTCTCCCAGAGTGATCCAAGAGAGAAAGCAAGATGGAAGCCAGATATTTTCTTATGATCTACCCTCAAAAGTCACACTTCATTTTCAACACATTCCGTTTTTTAGAAATGAGTCCTTAGGAGAACAGCCTATACTCAGCAAGAGGGGAATTAGGCTCCAATGAACAGAGAAGTATAAAATAATTTGTTTTCGTATTTTAAAATGACCATAATTCACTGATCTTTGGATACCAATTATTTACATTTTTCTCATATTCAAAATACACTCTCCCCTCCCATGACTTCCTAAAAGTCTCATCTTTTTACAGAACAACTTCAAAGCTAGGATACTGTCTTCTAAACAGGTACAGGTACAGATAAAACTCCCTGGGTATATTTCCTTAAACGTAGCTCCTTGAATATATAGTTTCTCTCAATCTGATGACCTGGAACTAAAGAGACAAATTATCTGCCTAACACATAACCAAAATACAATGGCAGGACAGGCAGAGGGTAACTGTCATGTGATCTTGTTCGACAGTGGAAAAAATGAGAGGAACACATAGTTAATGGTTCATATAATTCTGAAATCAAGGTGGCAACGTTGGAACTTCCTAGCGTGGAACTTAGGACCTGGGAATAATTTTTCATAACTCTTGGCTCTGATATTTGAGCTCTTGATTCTAATTTCTAATTTCTTTCCATTTTCATTGAACCATGGGTCAAGTTTGCATCTGCATAGTGTTTTCAACTTGCTTCCTGCCAGTGGAATTTTGGGGATCCAAAGGTCCCCTCTTCAATCAATGGTGGTATTTCTGCCAATATAAGGCTTTGAAAAACTCTGTGAATCTTCTAGAGGCCCACTTCGTTACATAAAAAGCACATTCATAAATGAGAAAAACTCAACTTTAAACTTTTGCTAAGTGACATACTTTTACACTTCTTATAGAACCTATTGCTTTGATTGAAAGGTTCTCTGAGGTTCATCTTCAATCCTCCTGAGGTCTTAACAAAGGAATTTACATTCACATCCTTAGATAATGCTTTTCTGAGAAGGCCCTGGATTTGATATTTGCTTAAAAGCCATTTCTTAATCTTAGCCATTTGACATACTGAGAAACTGAGAATTTTCAAAACCAGCAAAGTCTTGGCTTCTTTCTCTTTGGGAGCCCTTCCTTAGCTTACTTCTCTCATTTTCTGTTTATCATAAGCAGTAAGAAGAAACCAGGCATATAGCTTCAACCTTTTGCTTGAAAAATCTCCTTAGCTTAACCACCCAGTTTATTGGGTGTATTTTCTGCTTCCCACATTACTCAGGTGACATTCTTGCTAAGCTTTCAGCCACTATACAACAAACATTCCCTTTCTTCTATTTTCCAATATGGTTGTCTTCATTTTCATTTAAGCCCTCACTGGCTGTCTATCCAAAGACCTTAAAGGTTCTAGTGACAGTCTCTTCAGAACTTTACTAAAACTTGCCTCAAAGACCTTCCAGCTTTTATTTACTGTCTGAGTCCTGAGTCTGAAGTCATTCCCATGTTTCAGTATTTGTTATGGTAGCACTCCATTTACAGGTCTCCAGAATCTTCATTAGCCAAAAAATCATTCCCAAATTGAGTGGCTTAAAACAACAAACATTTATTATTTCACAGTTCCTGCTGGTCAGGAATTCAAGAGCAGCTTAATTAGATGGTTCTGGCTCAGGGTTCCTCATAAGGTTGCAGTGAAAATATGCCACAACTGGTCAGTCACCTTAAGGCTGGCTTGGAACTGAATAACCTGCTTCCAACGTGGCTCACTAATGTGGCTATTGTCTGAAGGCTTCAGTTCATCACCACATGGATATCTACATAGTGTTGCTTGAATGCCCTTATTATATGGCAGCTAGGCATCCTCCATAATGTGGTGACCTCATGCAATTAGTTAAAAGGCATACGAGAAAAGACTGAGGTCCTCTGAAGAGAATAAAATTCTGCCTTCTCATAACTGTAACATTCTAGCATTCTAGTTAGGTTGCCCACTCTGCCAACCCAACCCACAATGTTGTGAACCATTTCCTTAAAAAAAAAACAGACACTTTATTTTCTATATATAAAGATTGATATCCCTTATCTGAATTGCTTGGAACCAGAACTGTTTCAAATATCAGAATATTTGTATGTGCGTAATAAGTCATCTTAAGGATAGTATTCAAGTTTAAAGATGAAAGTCATTTACGTTTCATCCCTTATCTGAATTGCTTGGAACCAGAACTGTTTCAAATTTCAGAACATTTATAAGTGCATAATAAGACATCTTAAGGATAGTACCCAAGTTTAAAGGTGAAATTCATTTACGTTTCATTTATGTTTATATATCTTATAACACACAGGCTGAAGGTAATTTTATACATGATTTTAAATAATTTTGTGCATGAAACAAAATTTTGACTGCATTTTTAGTGTTATTTATAACATGGGGTCAAGTATAAATTTTTTTCTACTTTAGGTGTCATTTCCATCCCAAAAAGCTTCAGATTTTGGGGCCAGGCACAATGGCTCATGCCTGTAATCCCAGCAGCTTGGAGAGGTGGGTGGATAACTTCAGCCCAGGAGTTCAAGACCAGCCTGAGCAACAAAGCAAGGCCTCGTTTCAAAAAAAAAAAAAAACCAGTTTCATATTTTGGAACATTTCAAATTTCAAATTTTCAGATTAGAGACACTTAACTTGTATTGGTTATATTTTTTTCTGGAGAATTCTGACAAATATAGTGTCTTAGAAATATTCTTAGTAATTGATGAGTTTATCTATTAAGGCCAGTGACTTCTTTCACATACTTTATGTTTACAAATTCTTTCCAAGCCATTACTTACTTGTAAGTCATCTGCCCCTTCAGCTTCATTTTTTGATTCGGGGCATCCTAAGAAAATAGATAAAAGTTAATCAAGCACAGAATTTTTGTCTTAAGAGTCCACTATTAATGAATAATTGATTATGTTATCATAATACTTCAGAAAACTGATAGAGATCATTCTGGACTGCCTGGCAATTAGAAACTGGCCACTTGTATTTGCCCCTGTTAGAACAGAGAATAATGTACTTATTTCCCTCTTCTACAGGTAAATTTCCACTTGCTTACTAACAAGATGTTTTCTCTTAAAAGTATACTATCTCTAGCAATCCCTGTCCCTAGTTGCTCCCAAATACTCAAAATTACTAGGCAGATTATAACAATTACACTGCTCTGATGATGCTAAGATGAGATGTATTCAGTTTTGCCAAATGCTTTTACCCAGGAAACAGTATTTAGTACCCATAAGCAGGATTTTAGTTGCTTTAGCTAAGATGGAAAACAAGCGAGTCCTAATCCATTACTGATAAGTTAATGGCCAATTGTTGTTACTGACTTTTGTGCTTCAACTTCTCTGTACAGGTTTTCATGCTGTTAAGAGTACCTTCAGTTCCAATAAATTAGTAAGAAAGGATTTGTCCTAGTAAAATATTCTCAGTTCATGATACCCTTGAGAGACACAGCTTAGAATGGAGAAGGCATGAGAGAAAGAGAAATTTGCCCTTTGGAAAGAGCAACATAGTTTATCTTTTTGTCAAAGAGGTCAAGTAAAAGCAATCTGAGATTGCTGAAAGTCTATATAGCAGCTGGTAATAAAGCTAGCTAATATTTTTTAATGTTCAAAAATGACAAGACAGATTAAGTATTGTAGTCCGTTCTACCTAGGAGTTTGTAAGCTACTCCTTATAAATCATTTTTTAAAACATTAAACCTAGTGAAAGAGGTATACTGTTATACTATATGAGCATAAGTTTAAAAGTAATTCGAAACTTTAAAATAAATCATATAAATTCCAGCTACCATGAATAATATTTTTCTCTTTAAAGCACTGTTTCTTCAAACCTGGCTAAAGGTTAGACTCAACTGGGGAATTGTTAAAAAACACACTGATGCCAGAATATGCCACCAAACCAAAATGTATCAGAATCTCTGTGGAAAGAGGCACAGGGCATCATGTATTTTTTTTTTAAGTTTTTTTTTTTTCTCAAATTCAAATTATAATTACTTGACTAGAGAATAATTCCTCACTATATTTGAACTTTTCTTAGAGTTTATGAATAATATCGGATGACTCGACTCTACTCCCCAGATAGATTCAATTGGTCTGGAGTGGAGATTAGTCATTTTAAGCTTCACACACTTCTCAGGTGATTGTAATGTGTAGCCAAGGTTAAGAACACTGATCTAAAGAGAATTTATGGGTTCTTATAATAAAGACAAAATGGCTACTATAAATTCAAAGTAATTTTTTCTCGATCAGAAATAAAAAATTACTCATTTACTAAATTCTGATCTTTTAAAGTAGCTAGTCAAATTACTTAACTATGGTTTCATGCACTATCAAAGCAGATTTCTACACTAGTTTTTCCTTGTTCTTGCCTGTGATTGGTCTCATATTAAATTTAATAATTTAAATTGGTCTCAATTTAAATTATTAAAATTGAAATAATTTTCCTTCCTAAAAAAAAAAAAATCAAGTCTTAGATATACAAATGTCATCCTTTATGGGAAGAAATGTTTTTTAAAGTGATTTTTGTTTAAGTAAGCATAAGCCAGTCTTACATGAAAAAACATTATTCTTCCCTTCAATACCTGTATGCTTTCGAGTTAATTATTTTAACAGACTGGCAAGATAACAAAGAAATAGATGAGGTTGTAGTTTCTGCTCATCCTCAATAATGAAATCAATCAAGTAAAGACTTCTGTCATGGAATAACTACAGTCTACATATATTTGAATATTACAATTTCTACAAAATTACCCAAGAAAAGGATGTGACTGGTGTCATACATACACAAGAAGAACACCAACTGGGATTCTCATAGCTGTACCTTTCTATTCCCCCTTCCTTCAAGTGCTTATTTTAAAACATTTGAATTATCTGAAGCCAGCTGTTGATGGACTCTTGAAGATAATACATGCAATTGATATATACTATGATGTGACAAATACAAATCAGGTTAAGAAGTCTATTATTTTACTTCATTTATTGTGAGGTCAAAGCCTGGTCGTATGTCACAAAAGCTGACATGTTTAAAGTGTGAAAACTACTTTGGGTCAACTCTAAGAAAGATAACCTCCACTATATATAACTGATAGATAAATTAAGGAAATAGTCAAGAGTACCTACCTTGAGAAATATCCTCTATTGCTCTTCGGATACCTCTATCAAAAGCCCTAGCATCAGCAGGACTTTGAAACGTAAGACCAAACTTCTTGTCATCAATCTTCCAGTGGTGAAATGTTGGAGTGACCTTATTATAAATGAGGTCTTTTTTAAGCATACATTCCAAAACCACCTAACAGAGGCCAAATATCAAAAATTAGTATACATATCAAATACATCTAATGTAGCTCTTAAATACAAACTGAGGTGATAAAAAGCTATTACTTTTTAATGAATAATTTTAATAAACATTTAAAATAAATTAATAAAGTGGTCTACTTCACAAAGTTACTCAATAAAGATGGAATTTTAAAAACATGCACATTATAAATGGAATGCTTATTATACTCCCATTTTAAAGAATACACACATATATACACTCCCATTGCATACAAAATTTCCAGAAGAATATATCAGAAAGTACTTCCAAGAAAGAGCCAGGGTGGTGGCAGTAACAGAAATTTAACTTTTTAAAGTCATTTTTGGCTGGGTGCAGTGGCTCACACCTGTAATCCCAGCACTTTGGAGGCCAAGGCATGCAGATCACTTGTTACAACCATTTTGCAGCAGCAACAACAAAAACAATTCACGATTAAGTTCTAGAATTCAAGGAGAAGTAAATGTTGGTGTCATAAATTACTGCAACATTTTTAATATATTCATAAACAGTGGGAAAAGCAGTATTTTGTAAAACAATGTTAAATTGGGATTGCTTAAAAGGGGAGGACATAAAAACAGTTTGATTCTAGTTTGAAATATATAATAGCACTAAATTAACTTTTAATACATGAAAACATTACTGAATTAGCCCCTCTTCTATTTTCCCAAATTAGTATTTTCAACTATTAACTCTCAGATAAATCTTGTCTTCAAAAGGCATCTATTGTTTAAAGCCTCCCAAAACTCACAGAAAAAGTACTTTCAAAAATAAGCTTTAAGTACTATTCAAAATAGCAAAGACACAGAATCAATCTAGGTGTCCATCAATGGTGGATCAAATAAAGAAAATGTGGCACAGACACACTTACAAAACACAGACCATGGGATACTAAACAGCCATAAAGAATGAAATCATGTCCTTTGTAGCAACATGGATATAGCTGGAGGCCATTATCCTAAGCAAATTAATGCAATAACAGAAAACCAAACACAATGTGTTCTTAATTATAAGTGGGAGCTAACGACATATACTCACAGACACAAAAAAGGCAATAACAGACACTGGGAACTACTAGAGAAGAGAGAGAAGGAGGGAGGTAAGAGCTGAAAACCTACTGAGTACTTGGGTGGCAAAATCTGTCATACCCCAAACCTCAGCATTATGCAATATACCCAGGTAACAAAACCTGCACATGTATCGCTTGAATCTTAAATAAAAGATGAAATTATAAATAAAACAATAAATAAAAATCAGCCTTAAAATGCACTGAGGAAATGAAAAGGCTAATCAACTAGCTCTTTGATTCACATAAATACCTATGTAGAAATGTGTTCCACTTAAAAGTCATGAAAATATTGAGTTTAAACATCATACCCACCAGTATAAAAACATACTAACTATAAACTAGATCTCAACTTGTTTACTTCTCTCTATAAAATATGAGAAAATACTGTTGGTATTATATATTTAATGTAGCATAAAACTGATTATCCTTTAGGGAGAAACTGCTATAGTAGTTGTTAAAATGAATTTAGGAAGAGGCAGTGGAATTGGTAAAAGGTAATCTATTGTCACAATTGCCCAACATCTTTGTAGATAATTTTTAGGAAATGCCTCCTAGAACAGTCTATTGCTCATTTACGTAATTCTCACAGGTTCCATATGCAAGGTACAATATTTTCTTATTTATCTAAGCAACATATTAGAAAGTTGTTTTGCTTTTGACTTTAAGCAGCATTTTAAAAAATGTACTTTCTTCACATTAAAGACAATGTATAGTACACCTTGACTAGGTAATAGAGACGGATACCAACTGTTTACCTGAAACTTAAAAAAAAAAAAAAAAGGAAAAGAAAAACAAAGAAAAAACATACCTCAGAACATGTTTACACATCATGTGATCAGAACTAAGTCTACATTCCTGAAAAGTAAAAATAATTTTAAAGGCTAGAGGATTCTTAAAATTACTGAATTCTGCTGCCTATTTTCACTGTCCCTCCTCAGAATACTAAGTTCTGACTTTAGCCCAATGTGGTTTTCACTGTATTAATTCTGTATCTTAGATAACAGGAATATTAATATCAATAGTCATACGGGAGGCAGAGTTCAATGCTTACCATATATGAGATTGGCATAATTAGCAAAGAAACTGTAGAAAACAGCAATTACATCTTTGACAAGAGATTATAAACAGACAATCCATTATTTACTTTGAAGGAGATATGAGGTAAAGGGATACATTATTCTTGGCCAACAGGAAGTTAGACCTATTAATTACCAATGGCAATTAATGTCTTGTCTTCTTACAAGACATGGCACAAAAGGAAATAAATAATTCTAAGTCTTGTTAAGACTATCCTAAAGGCCACTGCCAGAAGCTACTAAAAACATAATCTTAAAAATATTCAGTCTACAGTTTTTAAACTTGAAACACATCCCTAATTCTAATTAAAAGGTGAATAAACTTCTTGCTAGGATTAATTAGTTGTGGGTAAATTCTTCAGGCCCCCACCGTATTAACAAAGGACATTCATAAACTAGATAGTAAAGATAAATTTAAAAGTCAACCAGTGGACTCACCCTCTTTTCCACTCAAAAGATAGTTTATATTAACAAATAGGAAAGACATCAAAAGTGTAGACAGCTACCGTAAAGTACATATTAAATGTAGGACTGAATCAACAAGAATAACTATAAACAATATGTTGCCAAAATAATGTTACATGAATAATAATGTGGCTGGCTGACAAAGAACAAATTAGAGTAATATTTTACTATTAGTACTAGAACTTTTTGAACTTTTGATCATCTACAAATGCAATGGGATTAGAAATAAAGACATTAAACAAAAAATACATATATATATATATATATATATATATATAGTAAAATTTTAAACTAGAAAAAGCCACAACAAATTCAAAAGCACTTACATGTTTATACTGACTGCATGAAGAAAAATTCAGACATTTACAAACAAACAGATCTGACCAGGTTTGAGTACAATATAATTGCTGCAAATAGACTGGCTACAGCCAGCTTTAGAAAAGTGACTATAAAAATAAAGGAAGAAAACACAATTATGTAGGTGTACTTGGTAGCTCAACTTTGCATTCCACCACAGATCTAAGAAAATCTAAGTTGCTTAAGACATACAAGTTTAAATTATTTACTAGCAAGGTAAATACTTTTGGAACCACAGATATTTTCAGAAGATCTTGAAGTCTTTCAATCCAGTGGTAACAAAAACAACTTTTAAAATTTATTTTTATTTTTTATTCTTTCGTCTGTTAACATTAAACAGACGTTAATTATGAAAAAACAGATAAACAGGTGAACTCTGGACTTTAAGAAAACTGAAACTGTCGTTGACATAAATTTATCAAAATCTGATACAGATGAAGGGAGAGGGAAGACAAATGGTTTCCTTATACTGCACCAGGATAAGAGACAGTGGAAGAAGAAAAGTGATTAATGAAAATAAATTTTCATATACGTGAAAAATGTTCAAAGTAATGACTAAGCTATGAAAAATAGAATAGGTCAGGAACATGACACATACACTTCCCAAGGAAGAAGAAAAGTGTTACTACTGCGTAAGAGAAATTCAGTGTAGTAATTAGTTAAGCTTGTGGGCTTTATAGTCAAGACCTGCTGGGTCCCATCCAGTCTCTACCATTCACAATCCAGCTGACTTTTGAGAATTAGATAATACATAAGGCATTCAAAATACTGCCGATACGTAGTAAATCTTCAATAAATCTTAGCGGTGATGATGATGCTGGTGACCAGATGATGCCACTACCCCACAATAGGTTACTTGCTATGCGAGGATGGGAGATGATTACTTATGAAAAGAGGTGATTTTTGAGTATGGAGATAGGTGTTTGAGTGACAGATACAAGTATTAAGCACTTCAAAGAATTTATGTGAACAAATTCTGAAGAGTTTAAGTGAAAGGATTTTAAAGGCTAAAAAAATGCTTCAATCTCCAATTATTTTCCTTCATCTGAAAAAGGTTCCAGGGTCAGAATTTAAGGGGGAAAAATGGAGAGAAACTGTGGTTACTAAATAACTACAACTTCTGAAGACGTATTCCAAGCTATTTTGGGAAATATAGAGCAGAGCTCCCATCGTAAAATAACTGTGTTGCTAACCAGAAGCATCTAAAATAGACCAAGCCAAAAATGGGCATAAATGTATTTTTGTTTCACTAATAACAACTAATAATTTGGTAGAAGAAAGTACAATTAAGTATATACTTTTAAACTACTATGTACTTTATTATAGTTGCTACCTTACAAGTAGATAATTACATGTTCACAAATAGTGTTATCCAAGAAGTAGTCGCTTGGTAACCAGACAAAAACATTTTGACTAGTAACTTTCTGAAATACCTTTGAATCCAACGGAAAATAATTTTGGTTTTAAAATAATAATTTCGAATTCAAATTAAATTACTTGATAACCAAAGTCAATAACTGATATCTCAAATAGTTGCCGCTTTGAATTTTAAGTTTCTGAATGATATAAAAACTGGTACCCTTTATGAAATATATTATGACATTCTACATAGAATTATGTTATCAAATACATGTTTTCAGAATTGTCTATTAACATAAATTTGTGTTTTGAAGAATAAGACATTAAGTTAAGAGGGGAAATCTGTTTGTTCTGACTACAGTGAGAATTTAGAAATTGAAAAGAAAAAAAAAAAAAGTAACAGAAGCAGCAATGGCAGTGATTCTCACACAACAGTAGTTTAGTTACCTTCAGCTACCCCAGAAGGAAGGAAAGGAGGGAGAAAAAAAAAAGAATAAGGGAGGAAAGAAGGAAGGAAAACAGTATCATATTTTCAAATAATATCACATTATTTTAATGCATATTATTTTCGTACAATTAAATAGTTCATATAAAAAACAGCAAGTTAGAAAAGGCATCAAATATTTGACAGCCATACATACACATTTTAC